AAAATATGCAAATTTAAAAAATTAACCAATTTCTTCCCTTCATATTGCAATAAGGTTATGAAAGATTTGGGAAAAGGCATTATCGTATCAGTTTAATCTTTGTGCTAGTCATTTTGACTGCTTTTGTAGAGTTCCAGTGTAAAAACTCGGCCGAAAAAAGAAATGAGTGAGCAGAATTGGGAACAATTTTATTCGAATAATACAAAGCGAAATGCAACAGTATTTAAGATCGTCCTTTAAATAGTCAATAAAATCAAATAATTGAAGGATGCTTGTAGAAAACACTATAAGTGCCAAAAATTAAATTTTTCAGGAGAAAGAAAAAACATACCTGACTTTAAATTATTTACGAAATTTGATATTTTTCCATCGATAAATATGACTAAGAATATGATAACTCAAATGGATCATAAAATTTTTTTTGCGTTCATTACTATTTTTTTTTTTGCTTTTAAATTGTAGTCCAAATTAATGAAAAAGAAAATTGTATTTTTAGAAAACCACCCTTGTATGTCAATCTACTTCTTAGTTGTAAAGAAAACTCGATGTGCCATGCATTTAAAGTTGCAAACCAATTGATTTCTCCAGTTTACTTGCATACAAGAAAACCAAAAATCTAAGCACGACAAGCAAATTGTTTACAAGTTGAACAAATTTTAAAATCGATTTTCTCGAAAACGGAGCCACGGATGAGAAAATGTTATATCAAAATATTTTCTTCTTTTTTAACATAGAATTACCTCCTGCCCGGTTGTACTACAATTTCCGGCCCACCCTGTATATCGCTACGTATTATCGATACCCAAATAGCACATGACGTCTTGAAGACATCCATTTTACAGCTATTTTAGGTCTGAACGACTGAATGTCCTGATTAGTAACAAAGATGTCTTTAAGACGTCTTTTGACCTTTCTAAGGAGTCTTTAAGACGTCTCTAAGACATCTAAAGGCGCCATTAAGACATTGGTGTAGACCTATTTAAGACGTTGGTATAGACCTGTTTAAGGCGTATTTGTAAATATATTATCTACAAATGTACATAAAATAATTAAAAATCCTGTGTAACAAACAAGTAATACAACATAAGTATTGTGTAAATATAGCTCTTCAATATTTGTAAACACACTGTGGATGATATATTTCACCAAACCTGGTATGTAATAATAATAAAAATAAAAATAAAATCAACTGTAATAAAATTCAAAAAATTAAATACAAATGAATTTATATTAAGTTTGATTTCATGCTATTCGAGACGTCTATAAATGTCCGGAACGTCTGAAACAGACGTCTTTAAGTCAGCTGTGTGTTATCTGGGTATTGGTACCAATATCGTACACGTCCCTACACCCCCAAAAACTTACGAACCCCCGTTTCATATTTTTCTTCCGTTTCACCCTGTATATAAACGTGCACTGACCTGCTGCAGAGGTGATAGAGAGAGAGAGAGAGGGGTTCCGCGACCCGTGGCGAACGAACGAGAGAACCGGCCGTTCCTCGGTCCACGACACTGTTCGGTGACACACTAGTAGTTTCTGGTAACTACGGTGGCGGCGGCCGGCGGTTCAGAGAAGGGCGGCCCCGTGGATCGACGCGCGACGGTGGGAAGAATCTTCACGGGAGGACGTTCACTATCATCGCGAAGTGCTTGAACTAGACTGTGCGCGCTCGGCCACCAGCACCGGAGAACTTGTTCCTTTCCCTCTTCCTTTTCTTTGCCAGTATACCCAACACACACACACACACACACACACACACATTGGCTCGGAGGCGGAGGGACACTCTCGCAAGGTTGCCCCCCTCGGCTCTAACGAAACCAAAATGGTGAGCAGCATATCGCCGCGGCATCATAAATCGGTGGCGTCTTCGCGCGCGCAGGGGACAACGACGGTTCTACCGATCCTTGGAGGGCCCTCTTCTTGCTCTACAGACCGGTTTAGGTGGCTCGCGCAAATTTTTCATAATTATACATTTAACTAGACTACAGATTTTTATGCAAAATCTCATTTTAGAAGGTTGTTCGTAAAGACAAAAACAAAAGTGGGCATTTCTTTCCTCCTTTAAGGGGACTTTCCCATTCAAAATTGAAAAAAAAAAAAGACACTTTTTTTAATATTTCTTTATAAAAAAACTATTATATTTAGAAACATAATTCCTTTTG